TCCACAGGGGGAAAATTCAACACAAAAAGATCAGGCAACAAAAACCACCAAAGAAACAGAAGAACTGTTCAACTTATCAGATAAAGAATTCAGAATCATCATGATAAACAAACAAAATGTTTGGGTTAATACTGGAAGTCCATATTTTCTCCATGTGATCTGGTGCATAGTCAGGTTTTGGAAAACACTGATGTGGTCTAATTTATAACCCCTCATGAACTCTTTCTTTTATATCTCCAGAAAGTAATCATCCATCCTTTGCAAGAAGTCTTTAGAGATATGGAACTTACTTATCTCACTCCCTAGTTCACATGAACCAAACAATAAGCACAGTATGATTTCTTGCCCAAAATGATATGGCAAGTCCATCAGTTAGGATTATGAGACCCATATTCGGTATGGACAATCACTATCTTAGACTTGAACTTGCTAAAGTCTGAGTTAGTTCTGGGCATTGTTAGCAATAAGTTATTGAAGCCACAGATCTCCCCTCTCAAGAGAATTCTTACCTCTTCATTTCTCCATATATTAAACAAATACATATATTTTCCAGGATAACCAACAAACTTTCCTTTAAAGAAAGCTACGTAGAAGCAGGATGAGTAAAAATTGACAAACTGAAACAGGAACATTTTCAAGGTGAGACTGCTTTCATACTCCTGGTAAGTTCGAGGAAGTTCTGGTAAGTAAAAACAACAACAACAAAATTTAATAACGTACCTTCCTTTTGCATGTTACATTTTATGCTCCCTTGATACACGTAGATATCTATTCATATTATTCAAAATGCCTGTTGAAATTTCCTCACTGTAGTCAGAATAGTCCACTATTAAGTATTGTGGATATGTATTAGACTTTGTATTAGAATACCTGTTAATAATAATGAAGACGCCTTGGAAATGCTCATTATTATATTCTGAGGGTTGAAGCACTTGCTTGAGTTTACAAAGTCAGAATGTGGAATTCAAAACCATGTAAAATTGATGAGTCTAATGTTCATTGAATATACTACATGAAACTTGCTGGACTTCTCTCTTGTCTGTTTTCATTCAGATTTGAACAAAGCAAACTCACACCAAGGGCAAGAGGTGACTTCCAAACTAAACTGTGCTTTCCTGTTACAGATTAGGTCGCTGTAGCATTTTGAAGGCAACTTCTATGGCTGGTAACAGCAATAGGACACATTTTCCCTCTCTTTACTTAAAACACCCGATCAGGATTTATCATTTAATGAATTCCAAAGATAAGAAAATATCAGGTTCTCTTGACAGGTTCTCTTGACAGAGTATCACACAGTCAGAGGGTGGCTGCATACTTTGCTGAGCTGATGCTCTCCAGAGAGCATAAACTGATCCAGCCAAATCCAGGACATTTTTAGCAATACTGAAATGGCAACATATTACTCTAGAGACACAGAAAACTCAGTGAAATTTAATTTGTCCTACATAATCTCCAGTGTGAATACAAGTGATCCCTGGAAGAAAGCTATCATTTTTTCAAATGCTTTTATTTTAGGTAATCTTTGCTATGATTTTTTTTTTTCTCCTGTTGCTAGCAGAAAGTAAATGAAATTGAGAGAGAACTCAAAATTTGAGACTAGGATTTAATGAAGTTGCTTCCAGATTGTTATTCCATGCCTAGTGAATTATGTGCCCTTCTCTGGTTGACGTTGCAAAGAACATCAGTGTACATCTAGAGGAGGGTCATCCTAAGTTCCCAGGACAGCACTGAGAAAAGAAGCTGAGGCCTTGACATGAGTTTCTGATTTACCCTCCCACTTGCTTGGGCAAGACCAGCAGCCACTATGTTCTGCTCTACTCTCAATCTCTCACTTTATCTGTGACCTCCCAGCCTCCACCCCCACCCCCACTTCACCTTTTCTCTTAAATTGAGAAATTTTGATATTCTAATAAATTTTCAGAGTCCCAAGAGAAAATAATCAAAGTGCTAGGGTACAGCACCTTAAGAAAAAAATGTCCCTAGATTGTAGATTCATTCAGGAGGGCCTGGTTATTCGTTTTTCCACAATGTTGTTCAACAGTCAAATCATTTCTAGAAACCATATGTGTGAAATAAAAATTATCTGTGTCTTAGAGGATTTTATTCAGGATTCAGTCAGTACCATCAAGAGAAAATGAAGAGCCGAACACCCGGAAAAACCTAGGTAGTGCTAACTCATTTTTTTAAAGTTTCTCTTCCTGCTTCTATTATAAATAGTCTAAATATTAAGAATCTGAAGTACAAGGCTATGGGTCAAGAGCAAAAGCTGTCTTAAATGTGCCTTTGAAAAATTACGCCTTGGGAAATGATCCCACATGGTTATACCACAACTCTGCTTCATTAGTCATACTAATGTTAGGTCAGCTTACCCATTTTTGTAATCCAGGCAGATATCTTCTCATAAAAGAAATTCAGAATCAAAATGACAATAAAGTTCAAGCAAGATCCAGTGAGTGATGTGGTTAACTGGGGAGTGAGGAAACTTCTGACTTGCTGTAAGGACGCATCACTTTCCATGAAGCTGGCGAAAGTAGCAAAGAGTGACAGACGGTATACAATCACGGCTACCATACACGCGATGACAAGGGCCATCTGGGCACGGGAAAAGAAAAACGGTCACTGGTCTTTGTGTCTCCGTGATGCATACATATCTGAAACATACTATTCTGTTCATCTCAGTTTAGCAGTTCTCACCAGAGAATGAACATTGGTAAGAAAATGGATTAGAGATGATAAATCTCAATAGTTGGTTGAATCTAAAATATAAAAGCATTCATTAACTATCCTCTTTCTCTATCTTCTATCCAGGGTTGGAAAATTAGTAAGAAAATCAAATCCAGCTAATGGTCGGTTCTTTGTTAAATAATCTATTTATTTATATATGGTCTTCTTTTTACAATGTTTACTTTCTTTTCTCTGGTATAGTCAGCATATAATTTCATCACCAATTCATCAATTTTTATACATATTCTTATATAGTCGAGTCAAGGATGCTTTCATATTTCTAAAGGTTATATTATCTTTATTTTAAAGAAAAATAGAGACAGCCACCAGCCAGAGACTCTTTGTGGCTCACAAAGCCTAAATATATGTGCTTCTTTGACAAGTTGACAAGATGTGCCAACTTCTTGAGAGTGAATGAGGGTCATTTGCTCTCTCAAGAAAAATACATTTAGAGATTCTGTTTCATTTCCCCCCAGAATATGACCATTAGGGGCTCAATAGCTTCTGGTAGTTTAAATATTATGTGGATTCTATATAAGTTGCATACACTTCCCATGGTGTAAAAATATAAGCCTCTAGGGGTGACTTTATAGCAACATTTAGAGAATTTAGTTCTAAAAGTTGAAGAGCTGAATATAACTTAAAGAGTACAAGCAATTAAAAACAAATTATCTTTCTGGGGAAACAACTCTAGAATATTTATCAAGGGTTGCCTCAAACTGATTATTAGCCTCCTCTTGTTCTAGCATATCTCTTCAGGGATTGTTATATCATTTAAGAGATAAAGATAAATGAGTGATTTTTCTAAAATGAGCTAAGTAGTATCCAATCGAATTGCCTATTACATTGTTTTGGTTTCAAAATAATTTCTAATTAACAAAGTTGGGAGGGACAGGCTCTAAGAGAAAGCATTTCTCAGTCCCCTAATTCTTTTCCAACAGTTCGATTATGGTATATCCATATAGATTATAGTTTATTTTACATAGGCATTCAAATAAAGATAAAAATTAGAGAAGGCAGGAGGAGGAATCAAGAGTCATTGCAGATGAAACTGTTGAGAGAACCATAGTATGATTGCTTGTCATAAGAGTATACCAGCTTTTAAAGAATGCTCACCCACAAGGTCACTGTGGCTCCTGATAAAAAGTACCACTGGATGCGACTACAGAGAGGCATGTAAGGTTCCATCTCCTGCAATTTTGAAGAATCCGCAGCAAAATTAAAAATCTATACTCAAAGTTAGGACTCTAGGCAATAAGTCAAATGTTAAAAAAGTCAAGTTAAAGTTGAAATTTCCCTAGTGGCCTAGGGATTAAGTCTCAGCACTACCCTTTAAAAAAATCAAGTAGGAGCCCCCCACCAAAAGGATCCTGAAGCTCATGAAAAAGATATGTTCTACCAATGTTTCCTTCCATTTAAGTAAAAAAACCTTCAGGGACCTTAAAGGAGATATTTTAGACATGATTTAAGATCGAATCGACACAAGCTCTTTCCTGGGTGTTGCAGTTCAGTGGTATTCAGAGTGTGGTAGACAGGAGACAAATTCATACCTCAGTGCAGCTGTTTAGGTGAACATTATTTTATGATGTTACCATTTAATTCTAATTGAAATGTATTGAATTGAGTTGAATTCCATTGCTCTGTAGCTCTGCATGATTAAACAAGATGGCTTCATTATAGTTACAGAATTGTGTTTTTTTTTTACACAGCTTAAGGCCTCATATTTTTCTAACTCAATGATTGTTAAGCTATTAGTGGAAGATATTAACTATATTAACTGTAATATCAAGAGACACTGCCATACAGTACAAAATAACTATCAGCAGAAATCTAAATCATGCAATGGTACCTAAAACTAAAAATTTTACATATTAAGGATTTTCAGGGAAGACTAAATACAAACAGAACTCCATCAGCAGAACAAACTGTTCAGAAGGTTTTTCACATACCAGGATATGTGTGCATGTATGTATATGTACATATATGACTATATGCATATGTGCACAAGTATATTCAATTTGGGGGTGTATTCCTGAATTTGTCCTTAATACAGGCTCAAATATGAGAGGTCTGTTGTATTTAACCACTGAAGAAGCATTGCAAGTCAAAAAGGTCTCAATTTCAGAACCATTCAAACTAAGTGTATGACAGTGAATCAAAACACAGTTTTTCAATTGGTTTCAGATGTAAACCAGTACATCTTATTTTATGTCAATAATTTTTGGAAGGTCAGTAGGACTGCTGTGATGTGTGTTTTTTTTTTAAATTCCATAAAATATGAACCAATGCATGTGTCATTACTATGATAATTCCACTTTTATTATTTTCTTAAAGATTTATTTTTATTTATTTATGCATATAAGAACTGGGTATAGGCCACACATGCAGGGGGTGAGAGGATTCACCAGAGACACAGTGGGGGATAGAACAGGCAGATGTACTAAAATACATTACTGAAGGGAGCAGCAGGAGAGACAGGAGAGGTCCCCTGTGCCTTTTGGCTCAGCTCCCTGGCTGAGATCCAACTCAGGCTGCAGTGGCTGCCAACAGCTCGACAGTGCTGAGACTTTAACCCCTGCACCACCAGGGATGCCCACTATGAGTTTTAAGAAACTTTCTTAATTTCAAACTACCCTGTAAATGTATTTTCTATGGTGTATGTTCACCTTGATTCCTTCAGTAATTTTTAAATAATGTTTCATTGCAATTTAATAAATATTTAGTGAATACCTAAACTATGAAAAAAAAATTGACTGTTACACCGTGAACTAGTGTCCTGAACAGAGTATGGAATTCTACATAAAAGATTATGTTGCAAACATAATCTGTTCTCCCTTTATTAGCATGAGACAACAGTGATTACAGATTATAGAATTATATGTGAGTCTAATCTAAAAATCCTTCATTTTCACATAAAAAAATTCCAATTACCAAGAAGTCAAATTACTCAATGAACTACATATAACTCACTTATCAGTGAAAGTTTCCAAAACCTAGACTTCCTCACTGTAGACACCAGAGTGATGATCTTCTGACTACAATCAATTAAAAGGAACTAAACAAACTATACTTACAGAAATTTTGTATATAACACTGTATCATTTCTATACATAGTTATGTACATACAAAGTCCACACCATGCACATTATTTCACATTTTGCTCTTATTTCACTCAGTACTAAACCCATTTACTTCATGATAAAATGCCTTGGATTTGTTTCAAAATAATCTAGTGACAGGGAGAGTAGGTACATAAATGAAACACGATTATCTATAAAATAATATTACTTGAAGTTGGGTGCTAGGTTCATGCTGGATTCTTTTTATTTTTCTATCTACTTTTGTATGTGTTTCAAATATATATTAGAAGCAAGTGAAGAGCCTATATGAGCCTATTTATAACTTGTAGAATATTTTAAAAGCAAATTAGGATATACGTCATTTTTTGAAAGACAATCCACTGCCAGCTTCAGTTCCCTGATGTACCTTAGTCACTGCATTCATTTTCCTGTGTTTACACATAGCCTCAAATTCAGGTCTTAGCTGAAGCTGCTGCTGTTCCTCTTCAAAGTCCACCAGATCCCACTCATATTCTAGTTTGGCTTGCCGCTGTTTCCAAAACTCCAAAAACAATGTGACTATAGGAAAGAAATGTATGAAAACTCAGATATGGAGAAATAAAGTGATAAGATTGTCTTGGTTTTTCTCTACTTTAAAAACTATTTGGTTGCATGATGGTTGTACCAAAGCTATTGTGTTGGATGTTAAAATTAAAAAAAAAAAAATTAATTTCAACATAATACTATAGAATGATGTTGAAAGGATGAATATACAAACCTTCAAGATGATTTCTTAAACAGGAGTCCATGTAAGAACATTATTATTCTAGATATGTTACTCTCCATTCAAAACATTTAAAATAGTTAAATTTTTACTAATATTTAGTTTTTGTTTGATAATATTCAAGTGATTTACATCATAATCTCACACCTACAGAAATTTAAGGAACACATGAGAACCATTCCTTAGCACAATATATATCTTCCTTCTTTCAATGGAAGGAGAGATAGATAGATTTAGATAGATAGGTAGATAGGTAGATAAATAGATAGACAGACAGACAGATAGACAGACAGTCAGACAAGTGGATGGATGACCAGATGATCACTACACATATCGTTGCTGTGAATAGTTTTGTACACATTTTTTGATGGACATATACATGAGTTTCTGTTGGATTTATATCTAACATTACAATACAAATATCAAACAATATTAACATAATTTTGTCAAAGATTCAACTTTCCATGTTTTCTCTAATTCCCTACTTTCTAAATAAGAGCTATGGGTCCTCTCTGTACATTTAAAAAGCTTTACTGATATCTTTAACTTGCTTGGTCTCTCTGCTCCTACTTGCTTTTCTTTTTAATGCAAATATATCCTGACTGCTAGTTTTTCATTTGTTCATTCACTCATGTAAACCTTTGCTCATGTGTTATTTTATTCATTTTTAAAAATTATTTTATTGTGGTAGAACCTTTAACATGACTGTTACCCTGTTACCCTCTTAACAACTTTTAAGTTTACATTATTGTTTGCTACACTAAGTATACTGCACAACAGAACTCTAAGTTTATTCATCTTCCTATTGAAACTTTATGTCCACTGATAAATAACCCCCCTTCCCACCTCCAACATCCTCCACTGCACTTGCTGACTCTGTAAATTTGATTACTTTCATATACCTCCAATAAATAGAATCATGAAATATTTCTCTGTATGTACCAGGCTTATTTTGCAGAACATAATGTCTTCATGATCTACCCATGTTGTTACTTATAGCCCAATTTTATTATTTTTAAGCATGAATAGTATAGTCATGTTTTGTCTGTGTGTACCAGTTTCCTTATCCATTCACCTGTCACTCATGGTAGATAATAAGGAACTGCCCTTGCTTTCTTGTCTAGCCTTTAAGTACACATAGTTTGTTAAGGAGTGTTTTCAATTGGTAAAGAAAAGGTCTGCTCTTTCCTAGAGTTTCCCAAATTTTGAGAAATTTTTATAAAGCCTTTAGATCTCCTCTTTGTGAGTTACTTTTCCAAAAATGTTCTCCTAGAATGGCACATCTTCAAACAACTAGCAACAACAAATGTTGGTGAGGATGTGGAGAAAAAGGAACTCTCCTGCATTGCTGGTGGGAATGCAAACTAGTACAACCACTATGGAAAGCTGTTTGGAGGTTCCTCAAACTGCTAAACATGGAGCTTCCCTACGACCCAGCAATCCCACTCCTAGGTATCTACCCAAAAGACACAAAAACACTGATTGAAAAAGATACTTGTACCCCCATGTTTATTGCTGCTTTATTCACAATTGGAAAAACATGGAAGCAGCCCAAATGCCCAAAAGTAGATGACTGGATTAGAAAGATGTGGTACATATATACAATGGAATATTACTCAGCAACCAAAAAAGAGAAACACATGTCTTTTGCAGCAACTTGGATGGAGCTGGAAAAGATCATGCTTAGTGAGATAAGCCAGAAAGAGAAAGAAAATTACCGGATGGTTTCACTCATAGCAGGAGTATAATGGACCAGGTGAGAAAATAACAAAAATAATGAACAACCATATACCAGAGACATTCTGTGGGGGTCCTTTCTTAATTTCAAACTACCCTGTAAATGTATTTTCTATGGTGTATGTTCACCTTGATTCCTTCAGTAATTTTTAAATAATAAATTACAATCGAGATGGAAAAAAAATGTGCAAAATGATGTAAAAATAAAATTTGTAATAAAAAAAAATTTTCTCCTACATGATGGCAGGCAAAAATTTATGCCACTTCTAATTCCCAAATGAGATGAAATACTGGGATATTTCCTGAATTATGGGGAATTCTATACATGTGAGAAATTACTGACATGTGAATTAAATATATAAGAAGCTTAAAAACTTATATCTTTGTTGAGCAGATGATTAATAGGGACTATCCTGGACCAAAGACCAAGGACTAAATACCACTGATACAGATTTCTATTAATGTTGCGATGCTAGCAAAGATATGGAGATGTAAATCACTTTTGGTATATTATGTATGTTATCCGAATATGTTGTATGGATGGGCCATTTAATATATAACATGGAGAAAAGGTTTGTTTTTTTTTGTTTTTTTTTTATGTGACTACTTACCCCAAATTCCCATGAATATTGCAAAGAACACTGTTGACTCATTGTCAAATAAATGGGAGAACTGTAACAACAATAATAACAACATTTCAAAAAGAACTTAAAAAACAGTAATAACAACATTTCAAATACAAAGAGGAGGGAAATTCCAAGTGTTTTTAGCATATCTGTATACATACATACCTTTGAAGCCAAACATGTACTATTTAATCGCCAATAATCACACACTAGATCACAAAGTGGGCACATGATAATCTGACCTCCAATTTCAGGGTCACAGGTTTCAGTGCTGCAAAGGGAATAGAAATTATTTTTAAAGGGAATAAGAATTTTTAAAAAAGATTTATTTATCTATGCATACAAAAACTAGGATACAGGCCAGCAGTGTAGGGATGGGAGGATTCACTAGAGACATAGTGGGGAGCAGAACAGGCGAATCAGGAGCAGGCTGGTCAGGGGAGGTCTGCTGTGCCATGTGAGTTAGCTCCTTGGCTGGGTATCGAACTCGTGCTGCAGAGGCTGCTGATAGCGTCATAATGCTGCACTTTAACCTGCTGTGCTACCAGTGAGAGCACAAGAATGATATTTATTTATTTATTTATTTGTGCATACAGACGGGTACAGGCCAGAGGCTCAGGGGCGGCGAGAGGCTTCACTAGACAGAGTGGGGAGCAGAACAGGCAGATCTAGGAAGTACACTGCTGAGGGGAGCAACGGGTGGGTCAGGAGAGGTCTGCCAGGCCATGTGGTCACCTCCTCCAGGGCAGGTGGGAACTGAACTCATGCGGAAGTGGCTCTAGCTTCTTAGAGCTGTGCTTTAATCTGTTGCACCACCAAGGAGGGCCAAGAGTGTTATTTTTAAAGTGATGTGCACTTGGGCGAAAGTACAAAACTATTTTTATTGGCATAACTATTTGTATAACTCAACAGAAGGGGTAATGAAGCAGCAATTTCTGCACCTTATCAAATCACGCTTGAGTAAAAGACTCTGCAGAGTCAGTGAAACTGATTTTTATAAAGCACCATGTGAGGGGTAGCTGCTGAGTTTGGGTCTTTTTTTTTTTTTTTTGAAGTATCAATTATCTGCTCACATACTGAGACATTCTGAAGCATATGTCAGGGAAGTAGTAGCAACAGTTTCAGTTAGCATAAGATTAAGACATTTTCTCTATTGGACAACACAGAGGCTCTTACCTGCATAAATTACTATTCATTGAAAATAAACCATACATAAAGCAAGCTAAGCCAACAACAGCAGCAACGGAGAGCATTTCTGTGTAAAATCCAAGGAAGACAAAATAGATGCCTATTTTTTCTCCATAATAATTCCTATGAAAAAGGGTAACCATTAGAATTATAGGTAAAATTATACAACTTAGAGATTCTCAGTATTATATTCCGACATTAGAATTATAGGTAGAATAATACAACTTAGAGATTCTCAGTATTATATTCCGACAAATTTGTATACTAACTTTAACTATACTGCATTCTAGCTATGTAATTTTGTTAAAGTTTTATTAAACTCTTTAACCTTTATTTTCCATATCATAAAAAGTACAATGATGCTTTTCTATGGCAGTGGTGTAAAAATTAACAAAATAACATATAAGCAGGAAAGTAATTGAGCAGAAGGTGCTTAATTTTTAAATAATAAGGTATATGGAGTTTTAAATTATAAAAAGAAACAAATGTTTTTTTAAATTTTTTATTGATCCATTTTTAATTGATGTAATATTGGCATGCCCCAACAGGTATTACCGCCTCTGTGTACCCACCACCAACTCACCCATGTTCTACCATCAGAGACCATTGTGCTTCCTTTCCTCTTTGTTCTTCCCTCTTCTTCCCATCCATACCCCTCCCTTCTTGGTTCAATAATTGGCTAGAAATGGTTAGTTTTCAGGCTTGTCTCACATATCTGAGTCTTAGTTTGGTTACTTTATATTCCACATATCAGTAACAATGAAATATTGCTCATTGATCAAAAAATAAACTCGTGCCATTTGCAGCAACATGGGTAGAGCTTGAAGGGATACTGCTAAGTGAAATTGGTCAGAATGAGAGTTAAAGTTTTGAAATAAACTTCAGAGCATTCTGCAATGCAATGTTTAGCTATTAACAAATCAAAATTGCATTCACATCTGTATGACTTGGGTTTTATCTCTCTAAAATTCAAGAAGGAGCTCTGTTTATAGTAGGCCAAAGTGGTTGTCTAACTATACTTCTATCTTCCTATAAGTTTGACTTTTAATGGAAGTTTATAGAACTCTGAATTAGGGACCAAATCAAGGGCATAAAATGACTACTCAGTAAAACTCACTAGAAATAGAAAGCCATCATAGTAAGATGAAAAAGTTTTAAAAGTTACTACATTTAAGCTAGGCACTATCATTTGATGGCATATCTAAGCTTCTACTAATGATGTAAAAGGAAACAAACTAGTGCTAAATGTGGTATTACAGATATACCTGCCCCCACCCAAAACATGGTATGTGTGTACATCTAGGGTTATACATACAAACCTTTGGTGAATCCTTGTAGCAGAAACACTTGTAGACAATGCAAAAATGCTAGGTGAGTAAATCATCTCAACTAGTTTGAGCAATGTAAATACATAAACCTACATTTTGACAACTTCACATCTTTGAAAATACTACAAAAATATTCTCCAAGGCTACAATGTCTTGTAACTCCAGATGTCTTTAATAATGTTTATCATAATAGTAAAAAATTGTGGACAGCCTGATGTTTTTCAGTAGAAATATATATATATATATAACACTATATATGTCTCCGAATTATAGAGTCACACCTCTTTAGGAAACTAAGCAACTTGACCAAGTTGGTAGAGCTTCTAAGAAGGACTTGGATTTAAACCCAGACTTCTTAAACACCAATATCCAACCTCTGAATCAATGAGCTATCTCTACACAGTACTTAAGAACATTCTGGTATTAAGAACATTCATGTATCGTATAGTTACAAACTATAGCTACAACATTGGTAAGGAGTACAATATAGTGGGTGAAATAGTAAAAAGAGTGGAATATGATATCATTATAAATAAAAATCATGTCATCAAAATTTGATAGGTGTGGTCCTATATAATACTTACCTAATCATATCTAAAGGTTGCTCCTTGTAAAAATAGGAAAGCCTAGCCCAATTCTGGCGAAGTATGTATCTTTCATTGATAGGATTAGGAGGTTCTGAAGGCTTCCAATATTGACCCTACAGAGATTTCAAAACAAAGTACATCAATAACAAAGCAAAGGAATTAAATAACTGAATGGTGCTTTTATAAATGGTGTTATACATTCGTGAACAGGTTAGTGGAAAGCCTAATGCTCTTTTTTTTTTTTTAAAGATTTATTTATTTATTCATATAGAACTGGGGTACAGGCCAGAGATGCGGAGGGTGAGAGGATTCACCAGAGACAGAGTGGGGAGCAGAACAGACAGATCGATGAAGTACACTGCTGAGGGGAGCAGCGGGCGGGTCAGGAGAGGTCTGCCACGCCATGTGGTCACCTCTGGGGTAGGCGGGAATTGAACTCATGCAGAAGTGGCTTTAGCTTCTCAGTGCAGTGCTTTAACCCGCTGCGCCACCAGGGAGGGCCACCTAATGCTCTTTTTTTGCTTTCAGATTTGGATTTTGCATTTCTCTGATGTAAAATTGTTTACAAAAATCCACAATAAATTATAATAACTGTATAATAAATTTATTTTTAAACTCTTGAACCTAGTTAATTAAAAAGAAAAATAAATGTTGGAAACTGGAGTAACTTAAGTTGTTCCTTTCGCTTGAAATGCCCTTTCTTTTCTACTCAAATTTCTTATAGTGTTTGTAGTTCAGAGATTCATATAACTATCTCACTGGGTAATATTTTAGAAATAGGCTAACACTTTTATTTTATAGTTGGAAAAATTAAGCTCCAACAACCTTAAGTAAATGATACAATGTTCACACCACTACAATAAGATTCTCTACCTGTCTTGTCCTCACCTTCATTGATGCCCATTTCCCAAAGAACTTGAACATATATAACAAACTTTATCACCTAAGAGATTCAGTATTGTGCCATCAAAATTCTTTCCTCTCAGTCAGATACAGAATAACTTATTAATATCCCTTCAGAACCTAGTACAGTGCTTTTTCCACACAACTACTCAACATATTCTTTTCAACTGTGTGCCTAGACAAGTGAATTGTTGAGGACAATACTGAATATTATTCAACATAGTATTAAACACAAGCAGAAATCTTTAAGTTAAGGCATAAGACTTTATATCATAAAGAGTCCAACATTTTTTTCTTGTTCTGTAGCTATTCCTATGGAATCTTGAGGAATGAAATAGAAAAAAGAAAGAAAAGGAAAAAAACAGCTTATTTGGATATCTTAAAAAGTAATACTTTAAAGCACATATAGGAAATTCAGTTCCCACATTTGCATTCAGGAAAAATAAACAAAGACAATTTTAAAAATTAACTAATTTAACTACCTCTAACAACAGTTCAGTAATACTAATTTTCTAGTGAGCATGATGGACTTTTTTGGAAGACCAGACATAGGAATTAAAATAGCAAATGACTAAAGATAATACTTTGGCTTTATGGAGTGGTAATAGTAAGAGGAGAATTAATGTCTTAAAAACAAACAAATAAATTTCCTCAGTCTTAAAGATAATGTCCTACTATGAAGAAAGATCTTCCCATTTTACCAAATTAAATTACCTTGGCATTATTCAAGATCCATAAGTCCCTAGAAGTTCTTTTGCCCCAAGGAAAAAATGGGGGAGTGGTTTTGGGATGGTGGGGACAAGATCTCTCTAACACAAACTAAATACACCTGAATTAATATTTGTGCTGAAAACTGCCACTCTCTTTGTTCGTATCTTCTGTACTCTTGTGGGAAATATAAAAAGATACAATTAGCTAACCAGTGTTGAAGTGACCTACAGTGGATGATCACACTTTCCAATAAATACTGACAGAGAAAAGCTGGCACAAGAGTTGAAGGCCAGGAATAGAGAAAATTGGCTATGGACTTTTGCTATTATAGCATCATTGCTATTACAGTATTATTGTCATAAAAAACAAGAGCAGTGATCAGGGTCCACTTGTTTACATGGGAACACTTGGTTCTCCTATGCACTTCTTGAAGAGAGAGAACACATCCTCAAAAAGTATTTTACACTTTAAAAGAGCAAAACTGGGGCAAAAAAAAAGGAAGTTCCAGTGGATGATTATAAAGTATTGTACATAGATTGAGTCACATGATGTCTCTCCTGCCAACTGTGGAATTAAATAGTGAAAACAATAAATATCCAAAAGGAGAGGTTCCTCTCAAAACCCCCAGAGTTTAGGCTTTCTTGGTTGTCCCACTAAGTTTTCATGTTTGGCTGCATTGTGAATTGCAGAAAATGTCACTTTTGTGCTGACCTCATAAAGCTTATTTTTGTACAGGATCCACCAGCCCAAAAGAGTCCTTCTGAATGTCACTACCTGGAAACCATTCACTTTCCTATGAATAGCAGCCTACAGTTTGTTTTGCAGCTGTACACAATTCTTATTCAGCTAAATTCCTAGTCTGTAAGCTTGGAAGCCTGGTTTTGTTCCACTAACACTTAACAGATTGCTTTATGTATACTTAAAACCAATTATGCATTTTATGAATAAATATATGGATACATGCCATCATGCCTTGTAAGTCTTTTTTTTTTTTTTTTAGCTTCAAGATTTTAAAAAATGAGGAAAGATCTGGTGGATTAAGGTA